TGCACCTCACGACACTGGAAGACAGAAGAGTAAGGGGGGACATGATCACAACCTACAAAATCCTCAGGGGAATCGACCGGGTAAACAAGGACGAACTTTTCAACACTGGTGGGACGCGAACAAGGGGACACAGGTGGAAGCTGAGTACCCAAATGAGCCACAGAGACGTTAGAAAGAACTTTTTCAGTGTCAGAGTAGTTAGCAAATGGAATGCATTAGGAAGTGATGTGGTGGAGGCTGACTCCATTCACAGTTTCAAATGTAGATATGATAGAGCCCAATAGGCTCAGGAATCTGTACACCAGTTGATTGACGGTTGAGAGGCGGGACCAAAGAGCCAGAGCTCAACCCCCGCAAGCACAATTAGGTGAGTACAATTAGGTGAGTACACACACACACACACACACACACACACACACACACACACACACACACACACACACACACACACACACACACACACACACACACACACACACAATGGTGTTGTTCTCTTGCTTAAAGTCCTACCACGCGCCTTCACAATCTTGAGTCACTGTACCTTAATGCTGTTTGGCCTAAGATTTCACACACTGTTAGTGGCCAAAGTTCACACACTTCCTCACACACTGTTAGTGGCACACTGAAGTTCACACACTTCCTCACACACTGAGGAAGAGTGTATGAGGAGGAGAGAGGGAGGAGAAGGAGGTGTTACCTCACAGTAACACGAGGTGGACCTCACAGTATGCAGTACTGTGTGCAGCTCCATACGTAGTATGCTGGAGTCCATACCTAGTTGAACACAAGCCAAAGTTAGAGAAGATTCAGAGGTATGCCATCAGACTTGTCCCGGAACTGGGAGGTATGAGCTATGAGGAAAGGCTACGGGAGATGAACCTCACGTCCCTGGAAGACAGCACTGTAAAGGGAGACATGATCGCCAACTACAAAATTCTCAGGGGAAATTGACAGGGTGAAAAAAGACAAACTATTTAGCAAGGGTGAAACACGAACAAGGGGACACAGGTGGAAACTTAGTTCCCAAATGAGCCACAGAGACATTAGAAAGATTTTTTTACTGTTCATTGTCAGAGTAGTTAACAGGTGAAATGTATTAGGCAGTGATGTGGTGGAGGCTGACTCCATACACAGTTTTAAATGTAGATATGATAGAGCCCAGTAGGCTTAGGAACCTGTACATCTGTTGATTGACAGTTGAGAGGCGGAACCAAAGAGCCAGAGCACAACTAGGTGAGTACAGTGGGTGGCAGCCCGCCCAAGACCGCTGGCTTCACTCTGCTTTACCCATTACGGGGCGGGGGGGGGGGGGCCTCACCAGATCACGCTTGCCCCCCCTCCTTCACGCTCTTGGTGAAGGAGGGGGGGGGGGCAAGCGCCTCCTCACACTCACCCCATTAGAACTGTGAATGGTATGGTGAGGAAGGGTACTTGTTGCTCCAATAACCTGGAGAGCAGCACATCTAGCCAAAGGATAGATAGGCGACAGACTAAGAATACTCCATCCTCTCAGTCTAAGAGATAACCCCGCGGTCTAGTGTGGACTCATCAAGACTATCTCTCCTTGACCTCGTGCTGGTGTTGCTGGCAGGGGGGGGGGAGGGGTAAAGTTGTTGGTGGTGGTCTCTGATGGCCTGGTCTTGTAGTTATGTCTTGAGGAGTGTTGGGTACAGGAGCTAGGGTCGCTGCCCTCACCACACCCGGCACCAGGCTCACGCCTCACCACTCATGAGGTCAACCTCCTCCTCCTCCTCCACAAAATATATATTTTTTATTATTATATATATATATATATATATATATATATATATATATATATATATATATATATATATATATAATATTGAATACGACTGCAGTGACCTTCCAGTTATATAAATCAGATGTCTATTCTTGTCATTGCTCACTTGAGAATGAAACTTGTAGGCTCGAAACGTGTGGTGTAAATATTACGTTTCATACGTTTCATCCAGAACTAAAATGTGACATTCGGAGAACTCCTCTCCCAGTTAAGTCAAGATGCAAGAGCACTAGTCAGAGGGATAGAAGCCCCCAAACAAGAAAATAATCAGCACAGAGTGTGCTGTCATGTACAGTGAAACATGTGTAAATGAACACTGCTGCCAGTACACACACACACACACACACACACACACACACACACACACACACACACACACACACACACACACACACACACACACACACACACACACACACACACTGGCTAACATCAGAACGGCGTTCAGGAACCTGTGTAAGGAATCATTCAGAATCTTGTACACCACATATGTAAGACCAATCCTGGAGTATGCGGCCCCAGCATGGAGCCCGTACCTTGTCAAGCACAAGACGAAGCTGGAAAAAGTCCAAAGGTATGCTACTAGACTAGTCCCAGAACTAAGAGGCATGAGTTATGAGGAAAGGCTGCGGGAAATGCACCTCACGACACTGGAAGACAGAAGAGTAAGGGGGGACATGATCACAACCTACAAAATCCTCAGGGGAATCGACCGGGTAAACAAGGATGAACTATTCAACACTGGTGGGACGCGAACAAGGGGACACAGGTGGAAGCTGAGTACCCAAATGAGCCACAGAGACGTTAGAAAGAACTTTTTCAGTGTCAGAGTAGTTAGTAAATGGAATGCATTAGGAAGTGATGTGGTGGAGGCTGACTCCATACACAGTTTCAAATGTAGATATGATAGAGCCCAATAGGCTCAGGAATCTGTACACCAGTTGATTGACGGTTGAGAGGCGGGACCAAAGAGCCAGAGCTCAACCCCCGCAAGCACAATTAGGTGAGTACAATTAGGTGAGTACATACACACCTTCACCCACCCACCTGGAGGGTGGGTGGGGCCTCGTAGCCTGGTGGATAGCGCGCAGGACTCGTAATTCTGTGGCGCGGGTTCGATTCCCGCACGAGGCAGAAACAAATGGGCAAAGTTTCTTTCACCCTAAGTGCCCCTGTTACCTAGCAGTAAATAGGTACCTGGGAGTTAGTCAGCTGTCACGGGCTGCTTCCTGGGGTGTGTGTGTGTGTGTGTGTGTGATGTGGGAAAAAAAAAGTAGTTAGTAAACAGTTGATTGACAGTTGAGAGGCGGGCCGAAAGAGCAAAGCTCAACCCCCGCAAAAACACAACTAGTAAACACACACACACACACACACACACACACACACACACACACACACACACACACACACACACACACACACACACACACACACACACACACACACACACACACACACACACACACACACACACACACACACACACACACACACACACAAGGGGGTACCAGACGGCTTCCCAGTTACCTAATGTACTTTACGTAATGTACTTCTTCTGTGTACCTAAATGTGTTAATAACACAAATGACAAAGGAAGAGACGAGACCAAAATATTTGTTTCTGTACTTCTTAATGGGGGGAGTAGGGGGGGCAGGGATGGACGAGAGAGAGAGATAGAGAGAGAGAGAGAGAGAGAGAGAGAGAGAATGAATGAATGAATGAATGAATGAATGTTACAGTGTCCCTCACCATCACACGCGCCAAAATACAGGCATCAACATTTGCCTACAAGGGGTCCAAGCCTACACAACTTTGAATGAAGTATTTGCATAAGTAGTATGAGCGGTGTTCTCCTGGGGCGAGACCCTCGCCCCAGGGCCGTGGCGTTGCACAGATCAGGGAAGCTTCTATTGTATGTAAGGTTGTCATAAGTGCTTGTGAGTGGACCCGGACCGTCTGTACCCACGACCACCTCAACAACGGACAGTAGTCCCACTTCCTGTGTCGCAGTGTAGTCCTCGGTCCCTCCCGCTGCTGTACACCTGTGGTGTGGGTCCCCCCGGGTGTGTGGTGTAGGTGTAGGTCCCCCGGGTGTGTGGTGTAGGTCCCCCCGGGTGTGTGGTGTAGGTGTACGTCCCCCGGGTCTGTGGTGTAGGTCCCCCCGGGTGTGTGGTGTAGGTGTACGTCCCCCGGGTCTGTGGTGTAGGTCCCCCCGGGTGTGTGGTGTAGGTTCCCCCGGGTGTGTGGTGTAGGTCCCCCGGGTGTGTGGTGTAGGTATAGGTCCTTGGGTGTGTGGTGTAGGTGTAGGTCCCCCGGGTGTGTGGTGTAGGTGTAGGTCCCCCGGGTGTGTGGTGTAGGTGTAGGTCCCCCGGGTGTGTGGTGTAGGTGTAGGTCCCCCGGGTGTGTGGTGTAGGTGTAGGTCCCCCGGGTGTGTGGTGTAGGTGTAGGTCCCCCGGGTGTGTGGTGTAGGTGTAGGTCCCCCGGGTGTGTGGTGTAGGTGTAGGTCCCCCGGGTGTGTGGTGTAGGTGTAGGTCCCCCGGGTGTGTGGTGTAGGTATAGGTCCCCCGGGTGTGTGGTGTAGGTGTAGGTCCCCCGGGTGTGTGGTGTAGGTGTAGCTGCGGTGTAGGATACAACATCTTACCGAAATATTTTACATACGTTATTTTTTATTTTGTTTATTTGTGTTATGCAACAGGAAGTGTTTTGGGACCGAAGTTCAGGGGCTGATGTTTGTGTCGTAGTTCTGTTCAACAGTCCATAATTTGAACGTTCCATCACTAGTGCCTGTATATACGTACCATTGGCTGAGAGCCGCGTTGTAATTTACAGAAGCCACGTGTATTGTGGCCAAGACATGGGTGTTATACTCAAATTCTCTCAGTTGAAATGTAACCAATCACAGGCGAGTAGGCCTCTGACGTCATACCAGACAGAGGAGCATCAGCCATGCTCCCAGCAGCCTCAGTTATCCTCACAGACTCAGAGTAGAAGGACCTCGGCTAGGCAGATATATACCTTGTTATCTCAGTCAATAAATATATAATATATACAGAAGCGACTACTGTGTCTACATTCTACCCGAACAAGGCAAACGAATATGTTGTATACCTTGTATGAGCCACTGCCAACAAGCAGAGGTCGCTTGATCCATATTTTTTTTCCCCACGATGTTTCGTTAAGACCATTATGTACATTGCAGGTTCGAAGGGACTGCAGCACGCCCACACACGAGGAGTCTGGACACACCGCCCACCACCTCCCGCCCGCGCCAGGTACGCCTCTCTTCTTATAAGATGATGTCCTCAATAGCGAGGGTAATGGTAATTTTTTTTTCGCTTGGATTATCGGGGATTCGAACTCGGGTCCTCAACATAAGAGACGGTTGTTCTACCAACCAGGCCATAGATGCTCATAATAAGGAAGGATCTCGGAAGTACGGATCTGGAGCCAGATTCACGAAGCAGTTACGCAAGAACTTACGAACGTGTACATCTTTTCTCAATCTTTGGCGGTTTTGTTTACATTTATTAAACAGTTTACAAGCATGAAAACTTGCCAACCAACTGTTGTTATTGTTATAAACAGCCTCCTGGTGCTTCGGAGCTCATTAACTGTCTAATAATTGTAAACAAAGCCGCCAAAGATTAAGAAAAGACGTACACGTTCGTAAGTTCTTGTGTAACTGCTTCGTGAATCTGGAACCTGGTACCCAACTGTGAATTTCAACGTTGCCTGGAGCACCACTACGGTTTCTGGTATTAAGCCACTTGCTTAACAACTTGGGCTGGTCGGTAGAGCGACGGTCTCCCTTCATGCAGATCGGCGTTCAATCCCCGACCGTCCAAGTGGTTGAACACCATTCCTTGCCCCCCGTCCCATTGCCAATCCTTATCCTAATCCCCTTCCCTGTGCTATATAGTCGTAATGGCTTGGTGATTTCTCCTGATAATTCCCTTCCCTTCCTTCATCGATATCATGTAAGATATAATCCAAAAGTGTGTGTGTGATAACACATCATCAGAGACTCGAACCTGTGCCTCAGAATACGAGCGCCTCCTCTTTCTCACCATCGCGAACACCTCATTATCAGTAAGACACGACCATTTGAAATGCCCATTCAGGGAATTGTTAATTTTGGGGCTGAGAATTGAGATTCAGGGAAGTAGGGAAACCATAATGGCCGTGGTTATCTTGAGGTTATCTTGAGGTTATCTTGAGATGATTTCGGGGCTTTTTTTAGTGTCCCCGCGGCCCGGTCCTCGACCAGGCCTGCACCCCCAGGAAGCAGCCCGTGACAGCTGACTAACACCCAGGTACCTATTTTACTGCTAGGTAACAGGGGCATAGGGTGAAAGAAACTCTGCCCATTGTTTCTCGCCGGCGCCTGGGATCGAACCCAGGACCACAGGATCACAAGTCCAGTGTGCTGTCCGCTCGGCCGACCGGGTCCCTGGTGGTTGAGGATGCTCACACTAGGGGTTATGTAGTGTGTGGGGCTCCAGCCCGTCCTCCTAAGGCTCCCCAACGTCAAGAAATGAGTCACAATAACGTGGCTAAAGTATGATGACCAGACCACACACTAGATGGTGAAGGGACGACGACGTTTCGGTCCGTCCTGGACCATTCTCAAGTCGATTGTGAAGTCGATCCTGGACCATTCTCAAGTCACAATCGACTTGAGAATGGTCCAAGGACGGACCGAAACGTCGTCGTCCCTTCACCTTCTAGTGTGTGGTCTGGTCATCAACGTAACGTGTCCTCTCCTAACCTACCAGAGGACCCAGAACAGAACACGGGACAGGTACGTCACTTTCGCCAGCCGCTTCCATTTTCTAGTACGAGAGTTTGTGGCCTTGTGTAAGGCTTACGAGCTAAAGGCGACGTTCTTTGTTGGAGTACAGGTTGGTGGCTCGGCGGGTGGGGTGTTGACTCCCTCCCTCTCTTCCTGAAGCCCCTGCCTGTGCTTCAGGAAGTTCAGCTTCAGCTTCTTTTGGTGGTATCTGTCGACCTTGAGTGAACTAGTATACAGCTGGGTAAACTCTATGGGATGTCTGTGGAGTCCAGCCATCGACAGTTTATACTCTTAATTCATTTAATTCCTTGGCTACTGTGGCAGTAATATCTCTAATATCCTTAATGGTATTGGTTTCCAGAATTGTCTTGGTCCTTCGCTTTTCCAGTAATGTGAAGTTCAGTTGCCTTAGTCTTTTCCCCGCAACTCTTGCCTCTCGGCTCTGGGACCAGTCTGATGGCATTCCTCTGAACTGTCTAAAAGCTTCACTTAATGTTTAGCGAGATAAGGACTCCGTGCAGGTGCTGCATATTACAAATTGTGCCAGTTATACGTGGTATACACAGTCCTGCACGATTACTTCACATGTCGACAGCCTGTTTTATTGGCTAACCTTGCCTATACAACTGAAGTTATTCTATTCGCCTAATTTCCAACATTTATATATTGATCTCTTGCCTTAGGATCATTACTAATTATGATCGTTAAGATAGAGAAATCTGACTATTATAATGTTATTTAGCTGATATAAGCGAACTCTTGTTATCATTTACTGGGTTCAAACTCCTACATTGGTCAGCATAAACTGACCGTTTGTTGCTCGTCCCTGTGTCAGCAACGGAGCCCCCAGGACAGGGGCCCCCTGGGGGCACCTCCGCTGGTGTCAGCAAACGGAGGCCCCAGGACACGGCCCCTGGGGGCACCGCTGGTGTCAGCAAACGGAGGCCCCAGGACACGGCCCCTGGGGGCACCTCCGCTGGTGTCAGCAACGGAGGCCCCAGGACACGGCCCCTGGGGGCACCTCCGCTGGTGTCAGCAAACGGAGGCCCCAGGACACGGCCCCTGGGGGCACCTCTGCTGGTGTCAGTCTTCCACACGGCCTCCACTCAATTCTTATTGATAATTTGTTCCTTTTGAGGTGACCATGAAGCCTTGCAAGACGGAGTTGACGACAAAGTCTACCTGCAGGTGGCACTGTAGAATGGTACAGTGTCGACAGACCCGTCCAGTGACGCACACAGTGTAGCCACACCCAGGGGGTGACGCACACAGTGTAGCCACACCCAGGGGGTGACGCACACAATGTAGCAACACCCGGGGGGGGGGGTGACGCACACAGTGTAGCCACACCCAGGGGGTGACGCACACAGTGTAGCCACACCCAGGGGGTGACGCACACAGTGTAGCAACACCCGGGGGGGGGGGTGACGCACACAGTGTAGCCACACCCAGGGGGTGACGCACACAGTGTAGCCACACCCAGGGGGTGACGCACACAGTGTAGCCACACCCGGGGGGTGACGCACACAGTGTAGCCACACCCAGGGGGTGACGCACACAGTGTAGCCACACCCAGGGGGTGACGCACACAGTGTAGCAACACCCGGGGGGGGGGGGGGGGACGCACACAGTGTAGCCACACCCAGGGGGTGACGCACACAGTGTAGCCACACCCAGGGGGTGACGCACACAGTGTAGCCACACCCAGGGGGTGACACACACAGTGTAGCCACACCCAGGGGTGACGCACACAGTGTAGCCACACCCAGGGGGTGACGCACACAGTGTAGCCACACTACCTGGTGTCCCTTACATCTCTCACACTCGGCCCTAAACCTTCCCGCCATTCAAATTGGGATTTTTGTTTCTCTCAACTTTTCTGGGAACGTTTTATCTGATGAAGTTTTTGTCTGGCCGGCTGGTGTATACCAGTGGTTACTGCTGGTGTATACCAGTGGTTACTGCTGGTGTATACCAGTGGTTACTGCTGGTGTATACCAGTGGTTACTGCTGGTGTATACCAGTGGTTACTGCTGGTGTATACCAGTGGTTACTGCTGGTGTATACCAGTGGTTACTGCTGGTGTATACCAGTGGTTACTGCTGGTGTATACCAGTGGTTACTGCTGGTGTATACCAGTGGTTACTGCTGGTGTATACCAGTGGTTACTGCTGGTGTATACCAGTGGTTACTGCTGGTGTATACCAGTGGTTACTGCTGGTGTATACCAGTGGTTACTGCTGGTGTATACCAGTGGTTACTGCTGGTGTATACCAGTGGTTACTGCTGGTGTATACCAGTGGTTACTGCTGGTGTATACCAGTGGTTACTGCTGGTGTATACCAGTGGTTACTGCTGGTGTATACCAGTGGTTACTGCTGGTGTATACCAGTGGTTACTGCTGGTGTATACCAGTGGTTACTGCTGGTGTATACCAGTGGTTACTGCTGGTGTATACCAGTGGTTACTGCTGGTGTATACCAGTGGTTACTGCTGGTGTATACCAGTGGTTACTGCTGGTGTATACCAGTGGTTACTGCTGGTGTATACCAGTGGTTACTGCTGGTGTATACCAGTGGTTACTGCTGGTGTATACCAGTGGTTACTGCTGGTGTATACCAGTGGTTACTGCTGGTGTATACCAGTGGTTACTGCTGGTGTATACCAGTGGTTACTGCTGGTGTATACCAGTGGTTACTGCTGGTGTATACCAGTGGTTACTGCTGGTGTATACCAGTGGTTACTGCTGGTGTATACCAGTGGTTACTGCTGGTGTATACCAGTGGTTACTGCTGGTGTATACCAGTGGTTACTGCTGGTGTATACCAGTGGTTACTGCTGGTGTATACCAGTGGTTACTGCTGGTGTATACCAGTGGTTACTGCTGGTGTATACCAGTGGTTACTGCTGGTGTATACCAGTGGTTACTGCTGGTGTATACCAGTGGTTACTGCTGGTGTATACCAGTGGTTACTGCTGGTGTATACCAGTGGTTACTGCTGGTGTATACCAGTGGTTACTGCTGGTGTATACCAGTGGTTACTGCTGGTGTATACCAGTGGTTACTGCTGGTGTATACCAGTGGTTACTGCTGGTGTATACCAGTGGTTACTGCTGGTGTATACCAGTGGTTACTGCTGGTGTATACCAGTGGTTACTGCTGGTGTATACCAGTGGTTACTGCTGGTGTATACCAGTGGTTACTGCTGGTGTATACCAGTGGTTACTGCTGGTGTATACCAGTGGTTACTGCTGGTGTATACCAGTGGTTACTGCTGGTGTATACCAGTGGTTACTGCTGGTGTATACCAGTGGTTACTGCTGGTGTATACCAGTGGTTACTGCTGGTGTATACCAGTGGTTACTGCTGGTGTATACCAGTGGTTACTGCTGGTGTATACCAGTGGTTACTGCTGGTGTATACCAGTGGTTACTGCTGGTGTATACCAGTGGTTACTGCTGGTGTATACCAGTGGTTAC